CCAAAAAAAAAAAAAAAAAAAAAAAAAAGAAGTCAATTGCTTTACTCAGGCAGAAATTTGCAAAGAGAAGACTCAGGGAAGTAGAGAGACTGCAAGTAAAACTACAGTTGAGAATGGCTTCTTGGACATCTGTCTAGAGCCAGGAAGCACTGCCTGCTCCAGGGAAAAGTTTTATGTTGCTTTTGCAAGTCTGTGATCTAATTAGACTATCAGCTTTCACTCCTCACAGCTGTACCACACTTTGTTGGTTCATGCAAGCCTTGTTTTGTCAAACATAGGCTTATTCAGCAAGACAGCTGACCAACTTCTGTCTGTTTGTGACTTGTAGCTGATCCTTCCTGAATGCATGAAGCTGCTTCCTGTGTATTTGAATTGTGTGTTGAAGAGTGACGTCCTTCAGCCTGGTCCAGAGGTCACAACGGATGACCGTGCCTACATTCGTCAGTTAGTCACATCCATGGATGTGGCAGAAACAAATGTTTTCTTTTATCCCAGGCTTTTGCCCCTGGTGAGTAATTCAGGATATTCTTACCGCTTGAGACTTGCTGTTGTCTTGACTCATCATAAGGACTGGCATTTGTATTTGAGCAAGGGAAAGTGATTTGAGAAGGATTTGGGATCTGCCATCTGTTGGGATACTTCACTTAATTCCACTCAGTGATAGATGGATTACTGCATCTTGTGAATTTGCTGGGGGATTTTTTTCCTGAGCTGTGAGCATGTGACTAGTGGCAAAGATGACACTTTCGACCCTTTCATAGTCTTTTATAACAAGTCCTAAAGTTTCTTGTAACTTTATGTATTAATTTTCATCATTGCAGGCCAATGCCACGTACTATTCTGACTTTTCAGTACCATAGTTGCTGGAATAACACTAACAACAAATTAAATTCCTACTCCAGGAGGCAATATTGGAACTACAGAGTAATTTCACAGCAGCCTTATGTTCTCTTTTGCTGACCAAGAGTCTCTGATGTGCTTCTGTGTCACGTTCAGTAAGGAGACTAAGCTAAGGAAGATGATACTTCAGTCACAGCTGTTGCAGTCTTACGAGTCCTAGAAATGAGAAAACCATTGAGGTCTTAGTGGCAGAAATTTTCAGGACTTCGTAAGATGTTCTTGTTTTATAACCTTGATTTTATTTTATTTTTTATTTTACTCTAAACCAGACCAAAGCAGATGTTGACAGTGACTCCTTGCCAGCAGCAATACGGAACTCAGAGGAACGTCTCTCCAAGGGTGACATATACCTGCTGGAGAATGGGCTGAACATCTTTGTGTGGGTGGGAGTCAACGTGCAGCAAGGCCTGATCCAGAACCTCTTTGGAGTGTCATCCTTCAGTCAGATTAGCAACACCTTGGTGAGCTGGATGGCAGTGCTCTCTCTCTGTGATAGTTGCCCAAAACTTAAAACAATGAGAAAGCAAGTTGAGAAAATAGTGTTAAATCTTTCATACTAGGAACAAGAGCAGCACAGGTATGTGAAACTGTAGTGGAAATGTCCCTAGCCTGGGCATGTCGGGCATGCTTTTGCCTAGCTTTATTTGACAAGCCACATCTCCACTGACGGTCAGGAGAGCAGTTGATATGTAAATGGAATGAATAGTTGACCTTTCATTCTGATATCATGTTATATTCTCTTTTAACTAGTTGAGGTCAAAGAGATTGTATATTAGTGGGGGTAGACATATCTCTACCCTTAATAATACAACAAAACTGCTGAGTTTTGTTTAATGTTGCTTTATTTTGTGTGACTAATGGGGATTTGATATCTTTCATTCCAGAGTACCCTGCCTGTTTTGGAAAACCCCTTTTCAAAGAAAGTACGATCTATTGTTGACATGCTTCAAGTGCAGAGATCCCGCTACATGAAGGTAAAAATGTTGTCCCCCATTTGTAGCTTTAAATCCCCTTCCCTTTTAGCAGAACAGGTGATGCCTGGTAGTGCTACAATGCTGAATTTATTGTTCCTGATCTCATAAATGTGATTCAAACATAAAATTTTCAAGGATCTGAAAAAAAATTTGTTACTAGTTTTGGAGTTCTATGCTTACCGTGGTTCTAAAACTAAATTTTTTCAGACCTGTTATAATATGCTACGGCACAAACCACATACATGGTATTTTCCTTCTGTTTAGAAAAGATTGAGACTTAGCTTAGTTACAGAAGTCAAAGCACGTAAGCCATATATGCTGTGATTCTCGATATCTGTCTTTGGATTTTTGAGCTATTTAGCTTTGCTCTTGTTTCCAAGAACATTAATTCTGCTAACTCCTCACTGTTGGTTTTGTTCTTTTTTTTTTTTTTTTCCCACCGTAGTTAATAATTGTGAAGCAAGAAGATAAGCTGGAAATGCTGTTCAAACACTTTCTAGTGGAGGACAAGAGCCTGAGTGGGGGGGCTTCTTATGTGGACTTCCTGTGTCATATGCACAAGGAGATTCGGCAGCTACTGAGCTAGAGGAGGGAGTGGTGCTGGAACTCAGCAGTGACATTTCAGTCTCCACTAATGACCTGATCGGAAGGCCCAGCGCCCTCAAAGAGGACAACGTAGAAATCTGTACAATTCCATAATTTTTAATACACATTGCATAAGCAGAAATCCTTTCAACCTCTCCCAGTCCTGTATGAGAGATGAAAAATTTTCCTGGTGAGGGCTAGAAAAAAAAGGCCTTTGATACCAGGTCTTTTACTTGTATCTAAATTGTTTCCTGTGCTTGACAGGAGTTCACCCCCCCACCCCATGCTCGCTAATCCTGTCGTAATGAATGTAGTTTTTTTCAGTTCGCTGTACATGATTCAACATTGGGTGAAAAAGCGATAACTCTTCAAAACTTCTGGTAGTTGCTGTGTGTTTGTATGGGCGCGTGTGCATGCTCCAATTGTGAAGAGGATGCGCAGGTTGGGAGGACAAGAGGCAGGTCAGGTGATGGGAGCTGGAGCAGCCAAACATTTTGTGTCTCCTTCTCTTAAGAGGGAAACATGACATTGCAGAGCACAGGTGTATCATGTGGCTGTCTGAACCAGAAATCCATGAAAAAGGAAATTAATGGTAAGCCAGGAGGTAGCAGGGCAAACTTCTTTCCACAATCTTCCCTGTACTATACATTGCTGTGCAGATCTGTAATGGAGTAATTAATAGTTCAGTGAGCAACAATCAACGGCTTCTGAACAGCGTAGGGGTAGAGACGGTGCGTGTGGTGACTTCTCCTCATTGCACGGCTCTGTAATGTCCTACTCGATCCATGTTCCATGGCCTCTCCTGCAGAGCTTACCTGTCTATCCAGATGGTGGCGGGAACAAAAGCCTCTTAACGTTAAGCAGAAAATACTTTTAACAAGGTGATGTGGGGCTGTGTAGGAACTGGATGATAAGGAAGTGGCCATTTTCAAACATATTATTGTGAATTATAGCAAACAAGCAGGAATTTGATGCAAATTTGAGACTGCTTTGTACCCTGGAATACAAGGAAGGGGATACAAAACCTAAGATTTAGACTGTACTGTAGTAGGTATTGCAAGTACCTGATTTTGGTTATTGAAAGCATCTGGGCCATAGTGAAGAGTTTCATTACTGGATGTTTATACCCTCCCCCATTCTACCTACTGATCAGCTTGCACAGAACCTTTTTATAAGCCTGTTTGTTAAACTAAAATACCTCAGACAGATTAATCCATCCACTTTGGCCACTCTGCTGCTCCATTCTGCAAGGGTGGATGAGAAGACTCCTGCGAAGAGGGAGCGAGTGTAAATCAAATTCAGAATTCTAAGGGCTTTGTTTATTCACTTTTGAAAGGGGGCTTATATATTTTAGCTTGAATGCTTAACAAGTGTTCTTACAATACCCAGGAGTTTAAGCTACCAATAGCACTAAAAGTGGAAGGAAGGATGTGGGTAGATTAGAGAACATATTATCTGGGCTTGATATTTCAGAGGAAAGTCCTTGTCAAGATCAGAAGAATATCTGGCTGTGGTTTTAGTTCTGTATCCTGTAGCATGTACATAAATCCATTTTTCTTCTAATGCTGCTAGTTTGTCTTCCCTCCCATCGCTACACAGAAAGGGGGATATGAAAATTGTAATGGAGAAACTCTTTCAAGATGTAGTTGACAGAACCTTCAGCGTTTTTGTATGAATGTGGCTGACTTTTTACTCCACGTACTGCCTCCAACCAAAAAATCTAGAGGATTTTTAACCAGAGGGGAAAAACAACTTCCCAGGAATATAAGGCACAGCAACCACAGACTTCCATAAATACTGATTTCTAGTATTAATATTGGGGGGGGAGGGGAGGTGGAAATGAAATCATAAATGAACCTTTCATTTTCTTCACTTGTTTTTCCAATGCATCTTTTAATTTGTAAAGAAATAAAAATATATTAAGATGTATTTTATGTCATTGTTAGTAAATAAACACTGCTTATTTTTCCAAACCCTGTATTTTGCGGGAGGGAGGAAATGGGAAGGGCTGAAGTCTAGCTGATTGATCCTTTAAAATCCAATCTTCTGCTGACCAAATTCAGTCTTTTTTTTTCTTATTCACAGTGAATGGTGTTAAGAAATTCAACAAGAGTCAGCAGACAAAAGGTGCTGTTTAATCTCAGTGTTACTTTGCTTAGATGAACGCTTTTTAACTTTCTGCCCCTTCTGAACTTTGATTTTGCAAGGAGATTTCCATTTTCTCTAACAGCTTGGGTCAGATTGATTGGGGTTTTTTTGGTCTACTTTGTCGTAGGGTAAGGGTAATATTTCCAATGTTAACTTAAAGACATCTGCAGTCTTAATTTTTCAGAGAAATAGAGCTATTTCAGAGTTAAGATAGCAGGGAAGTTGGGTGGGTTTTTGTGGTTTGGGTTTGGTTTGGTGTTTTGGGGTTTGGGTTTTTTTTTTTTGGAGGGGAGGGTGCTGATTGCAAAAATAAAGTTCAGAATGAACTGGCAGTGTAACTTGACTGTAGCCTAGAACATTCATATTGTATAATGTGCTGATAACAATCTGTATGAAAGCACAAGACAATCATTGCTAAATATCCAACAATACCTAGTTTGCTGTAGAATATTTTTGAGATTACTCTCCTGCAGAATGTACATCATGTCCAGAATCTGCTACTGAACTGATATATTGCAATAATGATGGGCCTTGTGCATCTTGTACATTAATGGTGTGGAGTAAATTGTGCTTGCAGGCATTTTTGTGGCAGCACCCCTTCTGATGCGCATGGAAATTGCCTTGCGGAGCCCATGTCTGTTAGCGCTCTTTCGGGATATAAGCGGAGGAGCTGGTGGGGATGGCATGGGGGTGGTAGTCTTTCTGCATTCTCTGGTGTGCTTCTGGATCGTGCCCGAGCAGTGTCAAGACCTAACTTTTCAGAGGAAAGCACAAAGATTCCCATATTTTAACCTGTTCTTTATACAGATAGAGAACACTTATTTGCTTGTGTCCATACTGACTAATGTCCTGCATTATGAGTTATAGATATTGTGATCGGGATTAAGTTATTTCTTAAGGAATGAATTTGAAGCTTTTAGCAATTCCATAACTGGGTGTAATTCTAGCATACTTTATTTTTATAGTGTAGCCCAAACTCAGCTTTGCAGATACCAATTTCCCATTTACAGAATATTTTAACACCCAACGCGTTATTCCAGGCTGGTACAGAAGAGCAGCTTCAAGGGAGCTTCAAACCTACCCGTAGGTGTTAAAAACCCCACAGCGGTTCCGTTCCTGCAGGCTGCTTTCTGCTCCCGCCCGTTACGGTCTTCA